ATAAAATCAATTTTTTCCTTAGATTATATTTGGTTTTTATATCTTTGTGAAGGAACTAATTATGGAATATTGTTAAAAAATTACAGATATATACAATCTAATAGTTAACAAATTAAGGAACGAATGTATTAGCTTAGCTTTTCTCTAATTAGTTTTTTCACTTACCTTTCATCAAGCACTGATGATGTGTCCATTCACTATCTCATTTTCATGAGTCTTCTCATTAATTTTATTTACTTTAACAATATTAATTAGCTTCTTGACTTTTCTCTAATTAGTTTTTTCACTTACCTTTCATCAAGCACTGATGATGTGTCCATTCACTATCTCATTTTCATGAGTCTTCTCATTAATTTTATTTACTTTAACAATATATTAGTTTTTGATCAGACAGGATTTGAGAAACACGAAAAGATAATGGGGTTTCGACCATTATCGAAATGACAACAAAGGAGAGGCCATGAAGATGAAAAAGATGACCACGAATTTAATTTATTGGTTATATTTAACAACAAATTAAAGTAAGTGATGTGAGAAAGCGATGTATCATATATCAAGTTTAAAATATTTCATGGTGAGAAACAAAACTAAGACTTGAAGAAAAGTTAACCTGCTTTTATTCCTTCGTCCAGATTCAATGCTACCTAGCTCTATCTCTTTGAACCAAGTCCACCATGTAAAACGACTCGTCTTTTTTGTGTTTATTTTCCAATTTTTCCACTTATGGCTTTATTCAATTCATCACTTGCTTCGCTTTCTTCATGCTCATCTATTCCTTCATTTCGTGCCATCATTACCCACCTTTTCCCCTCAGTTTTTGTGCTTATTTAAGATTCTCCAACTACAATTAGGGTGAAATGGCTAGACATTATACTTAGGGGGTGTTTGGATAAGATCAAAACCATGGTTTCAGAAGTGCTTTTACGGTATACGAAGCAAATATGTGGAGGAGATTGTCTCGATTTGCGAAAAAGTGCTTCTGAAAAGTGATTTTAAGGGCATCCAAACATTCCCTTAGTCCCATCCATTAAACAGTACCTGCCACTATACTGTTGGTCTCATATCATCATAGTGCCTCACAAGTAAAACGTAATTTATTAGTTAAAGAGGATCTCCCATCTAACCGACCGGGTGACTAGCCTTTTGAGAAAAACTCTTCTTTTAAACTTGTGCTCGTTATATATTATAAATACAAATGTAATGTGAACCGTGCCTGAGTGGTTGAAGAGGATTAGGATTGGTTTTTGATTGTGCACAAAGAAATTTAATATCTTCATAAAAGGTTATTTAATTTATATTGTCTGCGTATATATGTCTTTTGATTTGGTCTTTAATTCAACCTTATTATTGATTCTCGTTTTAGAATTTTTGAACTCAGGTGCAGATAATTAAGAGACTTTAATTTACATAGTGCCGCCAATGTATAATTCACATACATGTATTAAATTTGCCTTCCTGGCCTACATGTTTTCAAAAGCATGAGGACATATGGACAAAATTATATTGAGCACTAGATAAATTAATCAGCAGAAATTTAGCATGCCCTTGGTGTAACATTCTAGAAGCATACTTTATGTTTATTTTAATTTGTTAAACCTCGTTTGTGCCAAAATGATTCAGAGCTTTTAAGACTGTTCTCTATATGTTCAAACGGACCCAAGTTATTATAATAGCCATTTTACTACGTCCAATTGCAAGTCTATTGAGTGGATCATTTCGATGCATGAATAACAAATGAGAAGATGTTTTTAAAATATAAAAGATGTTCACACACTCATTAAATATTCAAAATAAAGATTTGTCTGATTAATATTAACTAACTTTGGATGTATAAAAATATTTTATCTTAATTAATAGGCTAATTGAGCTAGATGAAGCATGAGGTGAACAAAATAATAACTCGATTAGGTTGCGACCTGTAGTTTTGGAGCTGTCCTATATATAATACTCCATTTATTTATAGCCATCATAAAAATAATTATATATGAGATAGTAAATAAAGAGAGAAAAAACGCCAAGTATAAAGAGAAAGAAGTAAATTTCCATAATTTTACCTCTGCGTGCTAGTTATATCTTATTAAATGTATGATTAATTGCATATAACGACAAAAATAAACCCAAAAAGTATATAGAACTTGCTCGAGGCGATGAAGAAAAGGTAGAGAAATGAGGAACAAAGAACCTTGCTCAGAATTTAGACTTCAAACAGAGTTTGAACTCCACAAGCAAAGCCCTCCAAAATAAAAGGCCAAAAAGCATCACTTGCAGGACCATACATGCATACATACATACATAATCAACTCTTTTTTGTGGAAAACATGAGGTTTGGTTAAAGCCCAACAGCATTATTCCTTAAGTCGAATAAAAAGCTTGCTTATTGCCATCACGTCCCTGTTATTTTATTAGTTTAGCTTGGAAAACCTTTATCATGTGTTGCCACATTATTTCTGTTTGTTTGTTTGTTTCTGTTTACTTTTGACAAAGACTATTCATCTGAAGGCTTGTCCTGCTTAGAGGCTTTTGAAATAACACCGTGACACAATACCAACATATCTATGAAAAAAATCTACAGCAAATTAAGAGCAGACATGTTGCTTTTCAAACTCTATTATACGAAGTCCAATATAGCATGAATAATTTTATTTCTGAGCAGCACACATTAATTAATCAGTATTGTATAATTTAACTTGTTACTCAAATCATGTTTACTAAATGCCTTCCTCACGTGTTAAATATAACATTCTGGGTTAATACTATTGTTGATCTTTACGGTTTGATCAAATATTAATTTTAAAATCTGTAGTTTGAAAAATAGTTTTTGGACCCTATACTAAAAGTTAAAACTGTCAAGTATCGTAACCAAAATTAAAACTCTTTAAAAGTACAAGAAAGAATTACTTGTACCGATGAATGATTCATAACTTCTATTAAAGGGAGTAGACTAGCTCGTTTCGGTTTCGGTTTTGGTTCCTCTAAATGGCTTTAACTCACACTAGATCTTTATGAAATTATAGGGACTAAACGTTATAATTTGAAATTACAGGACTAAAATTAAAATTGAATCAAACTATGAGAATGAATAATGTTATTAATTCTAATATTTAAATGAATGAAGTTTTTGGTTGTTCATATGATTTGTTTTATATGCAAATGATGCTATGCTTTTTCGAGTATTCTTAATTGATTGATTCTTTTGCAAGAGAGCTGGCCTGCCTTTGTGTTATTTTAAAGTTTAAACACTTTAAAAGGAACTCACATCAAACTAATTAAGTGCCTTCTCTGACGCAGTTTTCACACCATCACTTGGCACCCAAAGCCTATCACAAAGCCTCTAATGAAACACCCTTTAATTTTGTGTGCTTTGTTCAATAAGTGCTGCTTGTCAACAAAGAAAGGCATCTGAGCTTAAAATATTATATATCCCACAGAAATTAAAGATGTATGTATGTTAATTAGCCGAATTAAAATATGCATCCTTCACTACTCCCTAGGGGGAAAAAACAATTAATGGCATTCGCAAAGAAACTGACAAAGAAGAGTTTTCTTGCTTATCATGTGGCGTTTCGTTATTGTATGAAAGCAGTCAAAAAAATTCTAATTAAATACACTTTAAATTCCGTGGAAAAGTATTTAACACGGTAGAAATTTATAAAGAAAAGAAAAACTGGGGACATCATAACAAAAAGTTACGCACTTCATTATGTTGGATAACGTAACCTAGAACAATTACGACAATTTCACTGTGCATAAAGATAATAACTGAGGTCATTGTCATTCATTCAATCATTCAGTTCTTAGTAAAGAGTCGATTTTTACTACTAACTCCCGTCATTAATATAAGAGTTAGTTTGACATTTAATTTGATCCTAAATATAAGACCCCAATCCATCTTATCTTTTGTATTTATATTTTTTTTTCCAAATTAGTCATTGCAGTAGTTGTACATGATAAAAATTCAATCAAATGATAGTTCTGACTAACACACATGATTAATAGACATATTTGAGGAAAGATAACATCTTACAAATAACTAACTTAACAAACTTTCTTAATTTATTTAAATTAGTCAACTAACTCTTATATTAAAGAGTGGAAGTAGTGTTTCTATATGTAAGAACAATCCAAACATACTGACCTAATTGTGAGCCACCTGGTTGAACAATATGATTATGATTGAACTGATGATGTCTTAAAATTTTTGGTTATATTATAAATCATCAATTTAGTTGTCCATTTGCACTCCTGGTTCTCTGTTTTTTCCCTCCCGTCATTGGAGATTGATATGAAATTAGAGGCCCAGCTTCTTTGGGTATCTTCGAGTGACAAGTCCAGGCCCAATTCAGTTTTACTCGATCACAGTAATAGTTCGTTCTTCTTCGTTTTCCAAAAACACATGAAATTCGACAGGATTGGCCAGACACTTGCCATATATGCATGTGTCATTCATTTGATGCACTAGCAATGCGCGCCACTTAATCACATCTCCGATTTTAATCAATTCATCGATATATATATTGAACACCTTCGATTTTAATATAAGACCCAACTGATTATTTAGAAAAATTAAAAAAGTTACTAAATTACTTTAAAATACTTAATATATTTCTAAACTAATTCGGCTCTATCTTCTTAGATTAGTTTAATGGGTCTTATATTAAGCATAGTATATATATAGATAGATATGTTAGCATGCAATTTCAATGGCGCGTCAAGCCTGCTGTTCATTCGCATTCATGCACTCTATGCCTCTTCTGTCTCTTCAAAAAACCATACTTAATATATTTTAGTTGGCGATGTACAAAACTGCACGTTATAACTTTTTTCTTCTTTTATATATATAGTAGCGATGATGCTAGGAAAATCCCGCACAAATGCTTCGTTGCTATTCTTGCAACATATGATATAATCCCAACAAATTCGATGGAGATTGTTCAATTACTTTGATTTTATTTTATATTGATATATAATAGGTTTGTTTCTTTTCCTTGTGAGAAGAAAGAATGTCATCCGGAGAAAGTAGAGAGTTTAGCACAGAGATTGTGGAGAGAGGGGTTGAGAACAGTGGTCCTAATGCTGGTTCTGTTTTCTTCTTCGTTAGGGTGAGACCAAGGCTCCCAGATTTCCTCAGTTCTGTGAACATCAAGTATGTTAAGCTTGGTTATGGCTACCTCATAAGCCACCGATCTTATTTCTTCTTCCTCCTACCCCTTCTCGTTGCACTCCTCTCAGTGGCTTCTCCTATAACCACCAATCAGTTCTTCGCTTGGGATTTCACCCACGCCCTCTTTCTTTTACCTCTCTTCCTCCTCCTTTACTTTTACTCCGATCTCACTTCCCGTTCTATTTATCTCCTTGATTTTGCTTGCTTTCGCCCTCCCAATGAACTCAAGGTATTATCTAGAACCTGACTTGAACAGCGAGCTTAATTCGATGTGATGTTTATGTTAATGGTGAGCTGATGATACTAACGAATATATATCATGCAGATATCAAAGGCGGAGTTCATAGAGCTTGCTAGAAGATCTGGGAATTTCAACGACGAAGCCATAGAGTTTCAGGAAAGAGCTCTGAAGAAATCTGGAATAGGAGACGAGACGTACATGCCAAGGTCAGTGTTCCGTCCGGAGTACCGAGCTTCCCTCAATGAAGCTCGAGAAGAAGCGTCCATGGTCATGTTCGGAGCAATCAAGGATGTTCTTGAATCCACAAAGGTGAAGCCCAGCAACATCAGGATCCTGGTCGTCAACTGTGGAATTCTCAACACAACCCCCTCACTCTCCTCCATGGTCATCAACCACTTCAAGCTCCGCCACGACATCCAAAGCTTCAACCTCGGCGGTATGGGTTGTTCCGCCGGAATCATCGCCGTCGACCTCGCCAGGGACCTCCTAGATGCTTACCCCGGATCTTATGCCCTAGTTGTCAGCACCGAGTCTGTCAACTACGCTTGGTACGGAGGTAACGACATGGACATGCTACTTCCCAATTGCTTCTTCAGAATGGGAGCTTCCGCTGTTATACTCTCCAATTTTCTCCTTGATCGATGGCGTGCCAAGTATCAACTCAAACAGGTATGTGCATATATATATAAGCCGAAATAACAGTTTGTGACAGATGTGTGATGTGTACTATGCATATATATATATATATGTATGTATATATGTAATGCAGCTAGTTCGAACTCACAAAGGAATGGATGAGAAGAGCTTCAAAAGCATACGTATGAAGGAAGATAGTAGAGGAAGGAGAGGGCTTTCAGTGAGCAAGGACGCCATTGAAGTAGGAGGCAATGCGCTTAAAGCGAACATAACGACACTAGGGCCTCTGGTTCTTCCAGTGTCTGAGCAGGTTCACTTCTTCACCAATCTGATGTTCAAGAGGAAGAAGACGAAGCCATATGTTCCAGACCACAAGCTTGCGTTCGAGCACCTGTGCTTGACGGCGACGAGCAAGAAGGTTCTGGATGAGATCCAGAACAACCTGGGCCTCACGGAGGAGTACATGGAGGCGTCGAGGAAGACTCTGGAGAGATTTGGCAACACTTCTAGCAGCAGTGTCTGGTATGAGTTGGCTCACCTTGAAGCTAACTTGAAGGTCAAGAAAGGTGATAGGATTTGCCAGATAGCTTACGGGTCTGGCTTTAAGTGTAATAGTGTTGTTTGGAAGGCTATCAGAACTCCAGCCAAGCCCAAGAAAAGCCCATGGATTGAGGATTCATAGTGGTCGTTGCCCACAAATTTTTATGCACACGCACACTAGAGTGGATTTGTGGAGACTGGAGACGGAGATGGAGATGGGGATGACGCGTTCTTCCTATGTCAAGCCTGCTTGTTTTTATATTACTTGTCCTGTAATTTTCAAATTGATCCAATAATCATGGGGGAAAAAACATTAGAAAGCATATGTATGTGAAAAAAATGTACTACTTGAAAAGACATATATTTAGAATTACTTCCGTTGTATTAAAAATAAAGACACTAGACACATATATTTAGAATGAAGTAAAACAGGTTGGTTTCTTAGGTTCATAGGGTATAGTTATGTTAAATGTATTTTTAAAAAAAATGACACAAAAATCAACCTGTCTAAAACTAATGAAAATAATTAAAACCATTGGTCGTGATAAAGTTTAAAAATCATGTTAAAAAGACTAACGTCTAGAGCTTGAATTCCATTTGATATCACTAAATATCAATTAATCAAATAAAAATGCATTAATACTAGGAACAGTATAACTTAAAAATTATTTGATGGAGGAAAAAAAATGTGTATGAAAAACAAGAAAAAGTACTGCTGTAATCGCCAAAAACATAAAAGAATTTACAGCTTTGGCCCCAAAAAACAGGTTCTTTATCTGAAACCAAAATTGTTATAATGGGTTGGTCGGGTCTAATAGCCCATAATGTTATACCGGGTCGTATCCGTCTCCGTTACCCGTTCTTCGGGGTTCTGTCTTCGTTTTTCTGTGGAGCCTTCGAGGCTTCAGACTGAAAGTATTCTTGATTTCTTTCAGCCGACGATTCCGCCCCAAGAATTCCAAAAAGAAGAACTCTTCCCAAGCGCGCTGACAGGTAGAAAAAGATGGTGAAGGTGCGCATGAACACGGCCGATGTGGCCGCCGAGGTGAAGTGCTTGCGGAGGTTGATCGGTATGCGATGTTCAAATGTATATGATCTCTCTCCTAAGGTTTGTTCCCTCCTACCTCATCTCGTTCTAATTAAGATTGAATTGAACTATCTCAATCTTGAGGTTAATCAAGCTGTCCTTTTTATATGTTTATGCTTGCAGACATACGTATTCAAGCTTATGAATAGCAGTGGGATTACGGAGTCTGGGGAGAGCGAGAAGGTATTGTTATTGATGGAAAGTGGTGTCAGGTTGCATACTACTGTATATATGCGGTAAGGATAATTTTCAACGTATGTATTGTGTTGGTTCGTGAAATGCGGATGTTTAGGCTATAGCTCGAACTTGTTTTATATGTTTGTAGTGACAAAAGCAACACTCCTTCTGGTTTTACTCTCAAACTGAGGAAGCATATTCGGACTAGAAGGCTTGAGGATGTACGGCAACTTGGGTATGATCGGGTATAGGTTTTCAAGCATATTTCTTATCTAGATGCTCTTCTCTACAAGTTTCCACTTCATTTCAATCTTTCAATTTTGTTTTTGTTTTTGTTTTCAAATGTGTTTCAGATTATTCTCTTTCAATTTGGGATGGGTGAGAACGCATATTATATTATATTGGAGCTATATGCCCAGGGGAACATCCTCCTCACAGATTCTAATTTTACTGTCTTGACTCTACTCAGATCACACAGGTAGGTGGTTTGTTTTTGCTTTCTAATTTTGATGTGCAGTCCATTTGCAATATAAGCAAAATTAAGATTCGATGCAGGTAGTATTATGGATATATTTGCTGAGCTTGGTTACGCTAGCTTGTGACTCAAGTGAGGGCATAACTACATTATGAAAAAATGGTTAATGTCAGTATTAACTGTTAAAAATTGAAAAGAAGTATTAAGGATATATTTCACTGGTTCAGATGTGGTGAGATATTTATTTTTCCATACTGTTTATGTAGATTTTGATAGATGTTTCCATATTGTCCCCGTGTTAGCGAATTGACATT